AAACACCCAGCACCAAAAGCCTAACCACAAAAGGAAAATAAATAATCACGTGGGTTTTATAGATTTATAATTTTCTACTCTTAAAACCTTGTTCAGAGGACCCAAAGATGAGACAGAAACTGGGAGAAAGTATTTGCAAAATAAATATTTGATAAAGAATTTTTACTCAAGATATAAAAAATCCATAAAACAAAAAAGAACCATTAAAAAATATTTTACCATAAAAAAAACTTATTTTAGGATCCAAAATTGCTGCTCCAGTATTTAGACAACTGCTTTGAAAAACCATGTCCCAACAAAAACCACCATGTGATTTTACACAGCAGCTCTATTTATAATGGCTAAAAACTCACAGATATCAGAAAGTTCTTCAGTAGATGAATGGGGTAGCAAATTGGGGTACACCCACGGGAAGGGTAGCAGAATATGCCATCCCAAAATATGCCTCTTCGGCACAGGATTATGTTGGGCTGATTAATTTTTTAAAACAGCAGACAGAGAGACTCTCTGGAAATTGAGTAGAAGCTGCCCTGTTATGAGGAGCACTTGCATTTATACAGGAAATCCACATGTGTAAGGATGTGTCCCTCTGTACCAGGAGTGGAAAGCCAACTAAACCTCTAGAAGCTTCTACCAGTGGAGTTTGGTCTCGGCTCAACTCTGCATGACAACCATGCCCTTGTGTTTATTCTGCTTTGCCTGATAAGCTCCCAGTTAACTAGCTTCTCTCCTCCCCTAACACCTTACTTGTGCTTAGCTGAAGATAGATCTTAAGGCGGTAAATTAGGTAATTCGAGGGAGTTACTCAGAGGTCCTGGGCATCTCCCATGAAGACGGGAAGTACACATGTCATTACATTTCTGTCTGCTTTTCTCCTGCTAAGCATTCTTTAATTCTGGGCAGGAGGAGCAGCTGTCTCGGGCAGGAACCGAGAAGGGCAGGGGGGATATTCTGCCTCCCTTACACCAGGAATGGAAACTGTTCAGCAACAGAAAGGAAGGAACCGCCAACCTGTGCAGAGACGTGGGTGAGTCTGCGTGCATGATGCTAAGTGGCAGGAGCCAACCTGAAGAGGCCACACACTGTGGGACCCTGTGTACATGACGCTCTGGACAAGACACAGCTACAGAGGTGGTAAAGGGGTCATGGTGGGGAGTCTGGAGTGTCCCGTGGGACACTCTAGTGATGGACACTGGCCACTATGCATTTGTCTAAACCCATAGATCCTTAGAGCCCAACAATTAAATCATAATCTATTCAAATTAAGTTAGTTAGGATGTGAGAGTGTCACGGGGTGAATACAAAATTTAACAAAGAATCTAACTGTATTAGAAATGTCTGGGGAAAAGCTCACTGCTGGTGGTGAGACAGGCTGACCTGCCCCCAGGCTGACCTGGGACACTGGGAAATGGGCAGAGACTGTAGACTAAAGGGAGGATGTACTGTACACAGACAGCGGACTATGTTTTATCAGCTATTTCCATGCAGGTCCCCACTGACAACCCTGAAAACCCTACATCTGTAATGTGGGATGAGCAGTGGATTAAGTGACAGATAGTCGGAGCCAGGTTTCTCCCTGTTGGAGGCGGAAGTTACAGGTAAGCAAGCGGAGAAGGTTACAAGGTCTATGCGATCACGGATCAGGTTGAAGATGTCGGTACAAACGCACCTGCAGCTTAATGTGGATGTGGGGAGCTCCGCACAGAAATCTTCATAGTCAGGCGCCTGTACGTTGTGAACATTTTGTGAACATTGTGAGAGACAGACACGACTGGAGCCACGTCAGAACGGAGGCGCAGCGGCCGCCAGAGAGAAGCCACCTCACCGGCCTTTGTCTGATTGGGCCAAAACCCGTGCGCTGGGCAGAACAGCAATCATCTGAGTGGCCAGCAGGAGGACGGGCATCTGACCACAAGTCTGATGGATATGGACTTCCTGAAGATATAGTCAGTGGTCAGTGTATAACCCGGAGTGGATCAGCTTATTAAAACGCCTACAGAAAACTTTTCTCTTGGCTCATGTAACTGCCACCCCTCTTCCTTTGCCTCATAAAATCCCTTTTTTCACCCTACAAGTGGGAACACTATTTGAGTAGCTGCCTGGATCTGTGCTCTCCAAATTGAAATTCTTTAATCCCAGGTAAGCTCTACTTTGCCTCTGTTTGCAGCTCTTCCTTTCCAGGTTGACAACACAGTGACACACACACATAACCCACCCCTGTGTTGTCCACTGAGCACATTCAGCTCCCACATACGGGTTTTTAATACTCTTCTCTATTAAAGGAACAAGGGCACTCTGAAGAAATAGCTGATACTAGAACTGAGACAGTAACTAGAGCACCTATGATCATATTGAAGTATCATGCAGTAAGGAAGCACCCCCCCAGAAAAAAACCCACAAAGACTGAATATGTGAAGGAAAACAAGCCAGCGGAACAAGTTTGCCACAGAGAGAGCAGGAATACCTAAGCAATCAAACACTGTAGTGCTGGGGTATCACTAAATACCTAAAATAATGATCCAGGTGTTCACACTGGTAAGAAGAAATGCATATGTGGGGTGGGGGTTGTAAATAAATAGAGCTGAACAGGCCTCTCCTACGCAGAGCCGTTCCAAATGATGTAGATTCTCAGCCATCCACCACAGAGGTGGACCTAACTCCTCTCCCTGAGGTGTGGGCTCTGTATAGTGTCTTCCTCCTAAAGAAGACACACAAATGGACAAGAAAAACCTAACTTCCCAGTGGGGAAACCTGGAGAACACTACTTCAGCCAGAAACCAAACTTCACAGGCACAGTTGCCTCAAGAAGACGTTCCCTTCCTATGAAGCGATGAGGATGCAGCTTACCTCTGTGATCTGCTTCCTCGAAGCTCATGCCGGAAGTCTGACCATGGGGAGACATCCAGCACATCCCGATGATACCAAAGACCTGACTGGTCCCCTCAGGGCTGCCAAGTCCGTCGGTGCACTGTCACAGCCAAGGAGAGCCTAAAGAGACAGGATGCCTAAATGTCATCGGGTCCTGGAGCAGAAAAACGTACAATAAAGGGAATCAAATGAAATAAAATAAAATCCACATAAAATTTTTCAGTTATTCATAACATACCAATATTTATTAATTAATTGTGACAATCTTGGGAGAAAACTAGAAAGAGAGAAATTAAAAGTCAGTAAGAAAAACAAACTGAATCTAATAGGAAACCTAAAGGAAGTGGGTGATTTCCTTTTAAAAATACATATGAGAAAATGTACCATAAAGAAAATACCTATTTTCTTCTATGTTCAGACCACTGAACATAGAAAAGCTTGGTGTTTAGAAATCTCCCATCGGAAAATAACCGGAAAATAACCCAGGACCATATGGGTTTACAGTTAACAACTGAGTAGTAACTGACTTTTAACAAACTCTGATTTTATTATCAAAGTTCGAGAAATTTACACATTTCATCTAATGTAGGGTGTCAACGTTTACAAAACAGGTATTATTCTATGCAAGTTACAAATGTGATGCCAATTAAACTGTGATTTTTCTCACCAAAAGTAAAAAATTGTTAACAACGTTTACTTCTATTAAGGCCAGAAAAGTGCATTTTTGCTAAATGCCAGTTGGGATATGAATAATGTATGTGAACCTAAGTAATGTTTCATCCACCGCCTTCTCCATGTGTCCACCTAGTTTCTTGACGGCGTTCGCATGCACCGAAAGAGGACCCGACAAGGCTCAGGACGGCAGGGCGCCAGCAGCCGGATGCTCCGCCACGCCCCGAACCCCTCGAGTGCCGTGTTCCGAGCAGCCAAGCCGAAGAATGGGCCGCTGTGAAATCCCCGGGGAAGCGCCGAGGAGCCATGGCGGGCACGTGGGACATGCGGCCCTGCGCCTACGACCAGGTGCCCAGGACCCGCCTCGCCAGCCGCGCCCCCGGGGGGCCACGGGTCGCGCCCGCTCTGTCCTCGCCGCCACAACCGTCCCCAGATGCTGCGTGCCCTCCCCTGCCGAGGCTCCGGGCACAGCGCAAGGCACGGCATGCCCACAGTTCACCCTCTCCCGGCAGTTTTGTGGCTCTCTAGTTCGGCGTCTTAGCTCGAAATTTCCAATTGAAATTGAGCCCACCATTCCTGTGCCCTGATGGGGAAACAAAGAGAAAACCAAGGCAAGGCAGAGGGTCACTACACAAAAGCAAATCGATTTCCTATGTATCAGTGCTGTGATGTGAATGTTTGGGTTTCCCCCCACATTCGCATGTTAGAATCCTAACTCCCAAGATTATGGTGTTAGAGCATGGGGTGCTTGGGCGGCGATTAAGTCATGAGGACGTAGCCCTCACGACTGGGATTGGTCTGCCTTAGACCCCAGCCCCTTCCCCCTGGGATACGAGCCTGCCACCAGAACGAGAGCCATCACCCTAACATCTCAGCACCCTGACCTCAGTCTTCCAGCCTCCAGAATCAGGACAGACTTCTGTTTATAAGCCCCTCAAAGTACCAAAATGGTGTTTGTTACAGTGGTCCAGATGGACTAAAATAATTGGCAATGTTTAGAAGAAAAATCTGAATTTGAAGTAAAAAAAATATTTTAACAATAGCCCCTCAAAAATTCAAGTCCTGATCCTGACCCTCTGACCTTGCACCCTAATTCCTGAACCTAACTCTAACCCTTCTTCCTAAACCCAGGCCCTGACCTCTGTCTGACCCCAACTCTACCCTAAAACCTAAACTTAAATTCTTACCCTTTGCTGCTTGTAAGATATGTTGCCATTACCCGATTTTCATTTAACATTTTCAAGTGCCACAAAAACCACACCTGTTCTCTCATGTACTTAGAGCACTTTTCTATTGGACTATTTCAATTTCATGTGTTTTTAAGCAACAATACAAAGTAGTGAAGAAAAACACATTATTCTAATAAAGAAAAAAGGTTTATTTTGTTAAGATTTTTGGAAAAAAATGTAGTCAAGAATTTCAATCCCACACACAGAAAACAGAAGTAATGCCAAGAAAGCTAAAATGTCTTAACTAACTTTATTGGTATCTTTATTTATCCACATATACAAGCTGATTAAAATCTTTCAAATTTCTTGCATTAATCCCCTGAAAGTTCCAGACAGGCAAAAGTATTTTAAAATACACCACTGATTTTTATATTACATAATGTTCATAAAATTTGATACTTGTTTTGCACATGTCTATGGCTTTACTACTTTCAAGACAAAAGTGACATATAAAAATACAGACTACTCAAGACATAAAAGCCGACAGTGGCCTAAAATGCAGTTTACAAGACAGAGCCTGCAGGCAACACTGACTGTATATGCTTCATTTGTTTGAAAACAAAAAGTAGTGTACCATTCTGAATTCTGGTGGAAGGTGCTTAAGCATAGGAAAACTCATTTACAATTCTCCTTTATGTTTGTGAGATAAATACCACCTACTTCACATATATTATATCTATATATTTTTAACCAAATTCTGGTTAAAAAATCACTCAGACTGACAACATGTAAATAGAAAATATTGTGAAAAGTTTAACATATACAGGGAAAAGCACATCTTAGGCATTGAAAAAAAACTTTAAAGTCAAGCCTAAAGGCAAATGTGGTTGTTAAAAAAATGAAATCCATGTACAATTATAGGGAAAAAAAATTTAGTCAAGTCACCTCATGTAACAGATTTCACAGATATAATTTATTTACTATTATGTCCAAAAATGTTCCTGTATTGCAGAGGTCTCTATGTATCAACTGGAATAATGCCAACAAGGAACTGTAAACTATGAAGTTTTGGCAAGTAAACAGAAATCATGTGTCTCAAAGAATGATGCTTGACTTTGAGTAAAAAAGCAGGTAAAAACTATGAAGTAATGTTTAGAACAGCTGAAATTTACAAATGTAGCCCAATATACGTTTTCCCAGCTATACATGCACACAGTATCCTGTGATAAAAATGATTCAGTTACTTTTAAAAAGCAGAAAAGTTTTAAAAATATAACCAGAACTCAGTTAAGCTGGTGAAATCAGAGGGCCACTGAACCCCAGCAACACCTAAGAGGCTAAGGGCTAACATCATAAAATCTGGATGATTAATTCTACATTAGCACTCTGAGACTGAATTTGTTTTTAACGTTTTATATACTTTTCTTTGGGTTAAAAAAAATTTGAAAAGAACCAATATTCTGTAGTAAGCAATGTAATCCAAACATTCTGCCATCTGACTGGAAGAACTGCCTTTTCTTCTAGACCCATAACTTCATAAAGATAGAAAGCTCTAGAGATCCATTTCTCAAGTCACTGTGAGTTATACTGTTCTAATGCAATGGAACCACTAAAGTACATGTATTTGTTCTTATGGAGAATTATAAAAGATAAAATCTATGATGCATCAGTACTGTACTATTATTACAGAAAAACAGACAACTGAAAAAAAGCACAGTCCATCTATAATCCAGTCCCCAATCTATTTCCTGCAGTCTTAATACTTTTCACCTGTTCTGAGGACCAAGCATGTCATCCCTTAGACACCTGCCGTCTTTACGGTTGGCTCAGCAATCATCCGTACCTCTGGGGTTGAACTAATACCACTTATTTTACACACACTTACTTCATTCTTCAGGATAGTCTTTAAATGATTACTAGACATTGGTGTTTTTTAAAGGTAATAATACGATGTTAGGAAAAAATTCCTTGGAATTCTTCTGAAATTTCAGAAGGGCATCTGGCAATTTTTATTCCTCCTCCCCCATCACAATCTTTTCATATTTAAAATTATAACTGACAACTCACATAAGATATAATTAATTTAACCAAAAATAAGAGAGGGCTTTTCAATAATGTTTCCCTCCTGTTAAAAACTAAAAAGTTTAGTGAAAAGCATTGTTAAAATTTAAGAGGTTCATACTGTAAAACTGAAACTTGAACACAGGTGTTCACACCCCTAAGACTTTACAAGCTTATAAACCTGTGCTTTGCTTCACATCGAATAAGCAACATAGGTTAATTTCGACTCCATTTTTCATTTTTAATGAAGATGTATTTGTGTGGAAGACAGTCACCAAGCAGTCCCCACATGCAGACCGAGCTTCAGGGCTTCATGAGAGCCAGAAGTCAGCATCCTGCTCCAAGTTCTCTCCCTGTTGGAAAAGCATTCTATGCACTTTACGTTTGTCAGGTTAACGTTAAAGAATTCATACCTCTGGATGAAAATGCTAGGGGACAATCAGGAACAAACTTGAAGAAGAAATGTAGAGAGTAGTGCGCTTTCGTCCCCCATCGAATCCGCCGCAGGGCACCCCTCACCGGCGGACGCCAGGCCCGGCGGCCCGCTGTCGCGTTTTCCTGTCCACACAGACTTACTTTTCTCTGTAATAAAGCAGGTAGTACTTCAGGGGCTCAGGCAGGGGGAGGCTGAGGACCTTCTCACGCAGGAAGTTGACTGGGGGGTCTGGCTTCGTTTCAGGCGGGGTTTTGTCCTCTTCCTCCCGCCGTTCCTCTTCCAAGTCTTCACAGCTGTTGTCATCAGAGGGGTTGGAAATCCGACTGGCAAAGACCTCTTTGTCCAAAAAGACAATTGTTTCCATTCGACGGCGGCGAACTCTCCTTCGTTTAAACCTCGGAGTATTCTTCAGTCCATTTCCGTTTCTGCTCAGTGTTTCCTGATGAATGACCTTTTTAATGGTGCCCCGGATGGCTATGCGAGCCAAGTCCTGCAGGCTGCGGACCGCCAAGGGTGCTGTGGGGCAAACGGCAGCATGTGTCAGACGCGTCCTGGGTGACGCCAACACAAAGCCTGAGCATCTGAAAATCTCAACGTCATTTTCATTCACTGGCATATTACAAATACAAGAATATAAGAGTACTCCCGACAAATGTCAATTACTGTCTGATTAGCATTCATATGGTATTTTTCAAAAGATAATTTCAAATACGCTAACCCTGAACTTAGATAAGGAAAAGCAGCAGCTAACTTGACTAATCAATCATTGGCAGAATAAAAACCTGGGTTTTGGTTTTTTGTTTCTTTGATAGCCCGTTTTATATATCTACTGACATGTATTCATTTCTGTATTCTCTCTCCTCCAGTAATAACACAGTGAATATATGGCTATAGCATTCTTTTACCCATGTTAGTATTTTCATAGGACTTTACAAACTGAGTATTTGTTCCTTTTTTATTAAGGTAGAGAAAATGCAAATCCAAAATATGTTTAAGAAGAAAACTCCAAAGCACACCAAAGAAAAATAAGCTCTGCCAATTACACTTAAACTCAATTTGATACAGGCAATGCAAACATAGCAATACAAGGGCTTTTCTCAAAAGGAATTAGGGGTCATGTACTTAAATACACTAAACTGAAAATAAACATCACTTGTTTTCCCTCTAGTACCAAACATCTCTAAAAAATAGCACTAGAGTGATGGCTCTTGCTGGTCTATGGTTACTGCCCAAATTAGAGGGGCCTACAAGGAATCTCAGCAATGCCCACTCTTCCACAGGAAAACACCCATGCCCAAGCTCTCAACACTTCCTCCCCTTATCAGTACAGACCCTTCTCTCCCGCCCAACTGCCCCCCTCCTCTCCCCTCCACGACAGGCTCCGGCACCAGCCCTGCTGCTCAACACCAGGGGTCATGCCTTTCTGCTCCAACACTGCCGTCTTTCCTTCCCTAACCATACTCTGTGTTGCCCCTAAGACTACTGGAACGGCCCCTGCAGAGGTCATCAGACCTCCCAAGTGCCAGCTTCTGGCCTCTCTAGGCTCTCCCCAAGGTGCCACCTGGAGGGAAGCGACCCCCCCAAACGGTCCCCTGGCCTGAGTCTCTCTTGCTGGCTCCTCCTATTCCACCCAGCCTGGTGTTGTGCACAGAGATTCTCTTTACTGCCATCTCTCTCTCATCCATTCTGTTAAATAACAGAGACTGGCCAACAGCTCTGATCCAGTCGTGAACAGGCCCTGAGCCTTCCACAGATCCCCGTCTCTAACAAATGCTGGACACCTCAGGCTCCCGTGTCCTTCCTCAGAAAAGCCCTATGTACCTACACCAGAATCCTTTCCTCTGTAGAGGCCAGTGTTTTAGTTTTGATCTTTTTCTCCTGCTAACCACCTCCTAAGTGGTTCCTGTCTGCAGTCTGCCACCTGTCCGTCCACTTTGAGAACCTGTCTTCCCCTGCATGTCACGTCTACACTGACACAACCTCACTATGCACTGACTTCATGCTCATGGTTTTTCTATCTCATTGTCTTCATCAACACTTTACTAGTCTAAGAAAGATCGCCCAGAAAGATGAAGTTACAAATAACTGGGCTGTTCACTTCCGAAGCCCTAAAGTGTATCACATGATTATTTACCATTCAACATTCGCCTGGAAGCCCTGGCCTCAAAACCCACACCTTGGGGTGCTCTCCATGCTGTCCGGATTCTTACCCAGGCCCTCACACAAAAAGACCCCTGAAAAGCTTCACAGATGACCTTGGCTGTGCCCTCACCTTCCAAAACTCTGCTAAGGCTCTGGGAGGTGGTGCCCTCCCTGACCACAGGCAGTACATGCTTAATTATGCTGGTGGGATTTTCAGGGAGCATGTATTTGACAAAGTCACCCTCTACCTGACCACCAATGTAGCCCAGAATGCAGATGCACCACATCTATTATTTAAAACATCTGACGGCTCTCCGCAATCATGATCAACTCCAGTCGAACCTGTGCACCAGTCTAGTTTCTGCCGTACATTCCTACTCTCTCCACACTGGGGAATGTGCTTGTTGAAAGTCACCGTGCCTCTCCTGATGCTTTTCTTTCCTTTCCTCTCTTTAAAGAATTCCTTTTCACCCTTGAAGACCAACCATAATGTCACCTTCTCTCTCAAGCCCTCCCTTACCTTTCCAACCCCTTTCTATATTCTACTGTTGCTTGATATCGCATTTCAAGGACCATGCCTAGTTCATAGGACCTGCACTTAGTAGAGACCATCAGAGAACATTGCTATTTGTTAAATGATTCATCATAAACTGAAAAACAATTCTGGGAAGAATTCACTAACATGTATTATCTCTGAGTGGTGAGATCATAGTTAATTTTTTTCTTCTTTTTTGCATGTGTGTTCTCCAAATTTTCTACATGATCAGGAAACAGAGAGCATGCTCAATAATTTCATTTGTAATGAAATTATTTCCAATGCTCACCGCTGTGTAATTTTTTGTTTGATTTATAAAACTACATTGGATGAACACTGGCCCTGACGTTAGGACTTTGCCTGATCCACATCCCGAAGGAGTGAGAAGCACAAGGCATAGGTAAGTGAGACGCCTTTGGGAGCCTCCCACCTACACCAGCAGACCGGCTGAAACATGTGCCCACGGGGCAGCCCAGGGAGCAGAAGGTCTCATATTCTACAGGCCCTCAGCACTGGCAACTACTCTCTCCATAAGGCCTGTCCACATGGCAGGATTAACTCCCTCTCATGTAGGTTCTCTGCAATGGCATGACAAGCAACAACTCTCTGTAGATTTAAAAGAAGCCTAAAATAACCTAAAATAGGCTAAGAATAGATTATTTTTTAAATGCCTAAAAGTCACTTGTGAAATTTTATGGTTTCAGTGAGTGGAGAAATGCTCTTTGATATTAAAAGGTTCCTTATAAACTTTGTTTTGCTTCAAATTCTAATGCGATTAAAAAGATCCTAAAGATAAGTAAGAGCCTCTGTACTTACGTAACTGGACAAATCTTGATTTTCCTGATTGTGAATGGCAGGGCTGGATCAGAGGAGCAAAAGAAACAGCTAGAATCTTTTTGGTTTCCCAAGCAGAAGGACCAGTACGCGTTATCTTAGTCAACTATCCCAAAGACAAAATGAGAATATTCAGAAGATTTCGCTACTGATAGCTTGTATTTAAATAAAATCTCTCCTATACATGATCTAAAAAACACAGATACACTAATACTGAAACAACCTGGCAATTTGGGCCCCTACTGTGATATGACATGAAGTACACATAACTTATTAATACTCTTGCAAATATGTTTAGCTTGACTATATTCAAGCCTGTAGACCTAACTTATGTTTACAGAAAATATAGATGATAGAAGAAACAATCAGATATGGAATGTGCTGATTCTGATGAAAAACATTCTTGGACTCTCCAAAAAAAGTCAAAGTTGGGGGAAAACGTAAGGAGAGGGTTCGTTCTAAAGTAAAAGCCATTAATGATATGCACAATCATCTGCAATGATGCAAACCAAACTGAATCCGAGCAGTTGTTTCTGGAGATGGGAACTATAAAAAGAGCTTGTTGCAACAACTGAGGACTCATGACCACATCCCGAACAAGAGCTACCATTACAGAGTCACTGTGACTTCCTTAAAGGTGACCACACCATCCCAGTTATGCAGGGGCTAATGCTCACTCCCGGGAGACGCATCTGAAGTGTTTAAATGTCCCTGTGACGTCACCCCTACAGCACACAGAGTTAGGTGACTAGCACACTGCAGTGTAGGTCTTCACCCTTCCTGGGAATCCCAGCATTAGGAGCACCAGGAGAACCTGGGTAGACAGCATGGCCCACTGGCATGTCCTCCAAATGGCCCAGGCAGGTCATGGTGCTATTTTTTGGTGAGCTCTGAGATGCGAAGATTATATGCTCTAGGGCCTGAAAATATCTAAGCCAGCAAATCCTCTGAAATCTAAGATTCCATGTCATGAACCTTAGAGCTAAAAGAATTAAGTAGTCCTGTACTAAATAAGCATCAACAAGTTACTCACATTTTTGTATACCAGCAAGAAGGCTTTTTTATGAAAACATTTTTTAGAAGGAAAATTTTTGGTTATAATGAACATCAAGTGTTTAAATATAATCAATGAATGATGTGTGAATACTTAAAGAAAAGTATAAATCCCTATTTCACGTTCTAGATGAGAAGAACATTGTAAAGGTATCTATATTCTCAAATTAATCTGGAGGAAACACAATTCCAACAAAAGTCTAATATGTTTCTGCAATACAACACAGACTTCTGAAGTAATTTCTACAAAGAAAGTATGTATGTAAAACAATATTCTGAGAAAGAGCAAAGATGGGGATGTGTGGCCCTACTAAAAACAGCAGTAATAAAACAGGTGGGTGTGGATGCCGATCGGCTCCTCTTCTGTGCTGCTGAAAGTGCGACTTTGAGAGGGCAACTGGCAAAAGTTAGAACATGATCTTTCATCAAGCCCTTCTCCTTTTGAGATGCGCCTGGAAAAGATCATGAGTCAGAAAAGATTCAGATAAAGAATATCCACAAGAAGATATGTGCACAGCCTCTTCACAGTAGCACCGTTTGTGCTGCAAATACAATAGCAAAAGGCTGGAAAGGACTCAAATGCCCATCAAAAAATCACATTCTTATATACCAACAACAATAAAGATTTAAATAAACAAAATAGGAACAAAAAAAATTCTAGTCATAGTAAACATCAAAAACTTAATAAACAATACATAAAACTTAAAACTATCAATTTAGTTCATGCATCCGGATGAGAGGATGGGATGAGAAAATGTGCACATCTTCACTGAAGGAAGATTATGAACAGATGTGTTTGATTATACATTTTTTTCAATAAAAAGATAAACTCAAAACAAACAAAGAAAATGATTACCTACAGGTGAAGGGAGCAGAGTGGAAGGGACATGCATGGAAGAGAATTCTGTGAGTATTCCTTATTTAGACCTTGGATTCTTGTAAATAAAAGTTATATAACCTAAAATGGCAAACCCTAAAAATTGAAAGAAAAGTAAAAAAATGAGCTGTGTGTCAGGCTGGTAGCTTCCCTCACAGAGAAGCATTAGCTCCAGTGACTGAAAAACACAGTAACATGTACATCTCTGGTGGAATGTACAAGCAAAACAACCCCACCCATAAAAATCCTGAACTAGTTTCAAACCTCAGATTGTTGGTGACAATGGCGATACTATGTATTTGTAGGTAAATAATAAGTTGGGTGGCTGGAGACCAGAATTTTCAGCACATAAGAAAGGCAATACTGATATAAGGCTGAAGATGTAAAAAAAATCCTCTGGTCCCAATTTTAATTGGAAATATCAATATAAAACCATGGTGTATTTTATCTTCAAAAAGTCAAATAAAACATAAACACACAGGTGTGTGTGTGGTGGGGAGGAGGTGGCATTAGGTCCCAGCTCTAGAGGCCCACTGAAAAAACTATCCCAGCACCCATGATTGCCCCAAAGACCCTAACTGTGGTCTCTAGACCCCGATTTCCCATGGAACTGAAAATGAATAGGGATCCTCAGAAATTGTTAATTCCAAGTTTGTGGTAAAAAATATATGTCAGTCTGGAACATCTTTTCTTAGCAGAAAGAAATGGAGCTATCAAAGACCACTGAGACTGAATCAGAGCCCAAGAGGCAAGCTGGAGAGGTGCCCACTGGCCAAGATGGGACAATCTGAACTTCAATAAGGATCACAATTAAAATACTAAATGTTTAAATCTATGAATTCATAGTGAGACTAAAAGTCAAACAAAACCTCATTGGTCACCATTTTCGGCATATGTCAGAGAACCAACTTACCAAGAAAGCTGATAACCAAAGTTAAGAATCAGAAATTATCCTGCATGTCCTTATAAAGTAAATCTCAGGGTAACCAAATAACTAATGAGGGTGTTTCTCTTTATGTAAGTATTGCAGCTACTAAATGAAGAGAAATGATGGAATTACACTGTGATTTTAAAATGATGGAATTTTTCTGCAGCACTTATAAAATAATGAATTAAGGTCACAGTCACATGACTGGCAGAAAGAGACAATAGCCCTGACGTGTGTACGTAAGGGAGCAAGGGAGGACGCCGTGTTCCTGCACCCTTTCTCCTCCCCAGGAAATACATCAAACCAGAGCCTAATTGGGCTTGTGCATCCCAAGTACAAACTCACAAGGAATACAGAAGACAGAAAGAAGAATATGTGAAACATCACCAAGAAATATAATCTCCAGATCCAGGCTGTAGAAAACTCTGAAAGGCAAATGACCTGATTTCTTCAAAAAAGATAAACTGCAAGGAAAAAGTAAGGATTAAAGAACTTACAGATTTAAAAACACGTTAAGATCTGTATCAACCAAATGCAATACATAACCCTTAAGTGAGGCCTCACTGAAATAAATCATCCAGAAGAATTTTGAAACAATCGGGAAAATATGGACACTAGTTGGACATTTTCAAATGTGCTAAGATACTAAGAAATTACTAAGACACAAAAGATACTAAGAAACTACTAATAATTTTTTAGGTTGATAATGGTTTTGTGATGAGGTTTAACAAAAACAGAGCCCTTGTCTTTTATAGGTAAAACTGAAATATTTGTCAATAAAAAAAAGTTCAATTAGGCAAATTCACTAAAGTCTTCATATAATAATAAAAAACAGGGAACACCCACACATAGCCTAATGCCCAATTACAGGAGCTTGATAATAAACTGTGGTCAGCAATTCAACAGGCTACTACATTAGCACTAAAATGATGATATTCAATGTTAGATGACTTAGAAGTATACTCATGAACCCCTCTAATTAAACACCGTAAGTCCTAAGCCATGTGTACAATAAGCAGCACCAACTAAGAGAAGCATGAGAAACAGCACACACCAGTGGTCCTTAGCACAGGGATGGAGAGCAGCTTTCCTTAATGTCATAGCTTCCAGATTTTCTAAAATGAATGATCACCTTTTGAACGAAATAAATGCTAACATTAAAAATTGTAGGAACTTGTACAAAAATGCATGATCTCCTAATTGTTTAATTTGTTTTTCCTAGTTCTTTTTGATGATTCTTTTTGACAATCGTTTGATTGTAATAAATAAATCTGCTCATTTATTACAGTGTTTTCCCCAATAAAACACAGTATTTAAAACATACAAAACCATGTATGACCAAACAGCAAACATGGACAAGAATCCTACTAACCAAGGGATTCATGTAAAATACTTCCCAACATGGAATTCAACAATTAGACCAACAGTGAGACCAGAAACTCTAATTTAAATTTATACATACTATTCTAATAATACAACAAAAGCTTAACAGAATAGCTGTGGAGAAGGAGGGGAGAGAATGGAGGGGAGGGAGAACTCACAGTCCTCTGGAATGCCCACCTGAGTCAGGACCTGCCCTACCTAGGCTGTTTTTATGACCTGTCTATGCCTGTTACCTCATTTGTGAAATGGAAGCAGTGGGTATGAGAGATACAAGGAAAAATAACACATAAACTTCAAGGAACAGACCTTGGCAAACAGTTAGGCATGCAAAAACATTATTCACGAAGGGGATCTGACCTTCTCTTCCAGCGGCATGACAAGGATCCCTCCGACTTTGAGAAGGCTCTTCATGTACTCCTCGTGCTCTTTCTGCACACCAGCCCCGCAATACACTCGGTCGTATTGAGAACACTCTGGAGAAATCTCCAGGCAATTTCCAGTAACAAAGGAAGGTTCACAGAATTCAAACCTGAAAGTAAAGAATGTTTTCCATAACCAAATATATCACACTGTAACAAGTCTATACACCTCAGGTTATGTTTTCATTGTATGATCCCACAGCAATATAATACCATGTGCACAACCAGAAGCTAGAAGCTCTTATTATTAATAAACAGAACCCCAGAAATTCCAAACAAAATCTTCTGCGAGTATCATAAGCACAATACAAGCTTAACTCAGCCAGTTTGCAATCATCTTTGCTGTTTTCATGACTTACTCCACATCCACTGAATGAGTGATGTGAGGAAAAATACATTTGGTTTTTCTACAAACTTTAATCCATAAAAAAAGAACTTTAATACCTTATTTTAAGATGGCCAGAGCTAGTTATACCTGACAGACAAATGTAACACTTTTGTTTTAGAAACAATTAGGTGGTAAAATGTCTCAGAAACAAGAAAATTGAGTAAAATAAACACTTTTTATTTATTTTATTATACAGGTGAAAAATTACCTTTACCTAGGTATCATAATAAAAAACCTTAAAGCCCTTAAAAAAATAAAGTGTTTTTAAATTATTTGAACAGATACATATATATATCCCTGACTCTCTAGCCACTGTTTAATCAAGTTTTCTGGTATTTGAACACTAATAAACTGATTTCTTTCCATGTAATCAAAAACGTTAAGTTAAACTCCACACCCCACCGAATGGACAGTATCGGAGCTCACTTGTCAAAGCTATCGCTTGTTCTGATGAAGAAGTCTAGCTTCTGCTTCGCGTACTCTATCACATCTGAATGAAGTTCCACACCGTGGTTTACACCAAAAGGACCTGAGAAGTTTCAGAATAAGACAACTTTTAGAACTAGGGCAAGAACTCTTACTCTTCATTCTATTTTATCTACTGTACCACATCTGCTTTAGCATGTGTAATTACAGAAATTCACTAGGTTTGGAAGTCTTCTCACATTATTGGGCCTATCTTACCCAACGCTAATCTATAAATATGCAGGGTAACCTCTGCTCACCACGTCATAAATATCCATTACTATGTTATTAGAAATCACTTAATTAGTATTACTGATACCACAGCTTTCCAAAGCCTGTGTCTCCCTGCTCACAGACTTTTAAGGAATCCACTGCACATGTATAAAAAAACCAAGTTCTGAAAGCAAAAGTTCAAGGTCTCATTAATTAATTGAAGAAGAAACTTGCATTTACAAATGAAACTGCACACAGACCTGTATTCCATACAGGATCCCCCAAAACACTCAGAAGGGCATTTTAATAATCCTCACAAAACAAGTTTCCATTATCATTAAAATAAAACTATAATTCAAATTCACAATGAAACTTTTTTTTTAGGAAGACTTCATGTTTAATTAAAAAAAGAATAATTTACAGGGGGCTACAAAACAAGTTTTCATTTGACCAAGGCTGTATTCAGCATCTGTACTCCTTTATTTTTGGTATTATTAATGTACAATTACATGAGCAACATTATGGTTACTAGACACCCCCCATTATCAAGTCTGCTCCCCATATCCCATTATAGTCACTGTCCATCCGTGTAGTAAGATGCTATAGAATCACTACTTGTCTTCTCTGTGTTATACTGCCTTCCCCGTGGCCCCCCACCCCCTACATTATGTGTGCAGATTGTAATGCCCCCTTTACCCCCTTATCCCTCCCTTCGCACCCATCCTCCCCAGTCCCTTCCCCTTTGGTAACTGTTAGTCCATTCTTGGGTTCTGTGAGTCTGCTGCTGTTTTGTTCCTTCAGTTTTTGCTTTGTTCTTATGCTCCACAGTTGAGTGAAATCACTTGATACTTGTCTTTCTCCACCTGGCTTATTTCACTGAGCATCATACCCTCTGGCTCCATCCATGTTGTGGCAAATGGTAGGATATTTTTTCTTCTTATGGATGAATAATATTCCATTGTGTATATGTACCACCTCTTCTTTATCCATCCATCTACTGATGGACACTTAGGTTGCTTACATTTCTTGGCTATTGTAAATAGTGTTGCGATAAACATAGGGGTGCATACGTCTTTTTCAAACTGGGCTACTGCATTCTTAGGGTAAATTCCTAGGAGTGGAATTTCTGGGTCAAATGGTATATCTATTTTGAGTTTTTTGAGGAACCTCCATACTGCTTTCCATGATGGTTGAACTATTTTACATTCCCACCAGCAGTGTAGGAGGGTTCCCCTTTCTCCACATCCTCGCCAACATTTCTTGTTTGTCTTTTGGATGGTGGCCATCCTAACTGGTGTGAGATATCTCATTGTGGTTTTAATTTGCATTTCTCTGATGATTAGAGATGTGGAGCATCTTTTCATGTGCCTGTCGGCCATTGGAATTTCTTCTTTGGAGAAGTGTCTG